TTCAATGTCAATATACGTCTTCTCATCATTGACATCTACAACTACACCCACACCCACATCCACAGCCACAGCCACAGCCACAGCCACAGCCACACCCACCCCACACCCATACCAACACCCATACCAACACCCACAACCACACCCACACCCACACCCACACCCACCCCACACCCATACCAACACCCACAACCACACCCACACCCACACCAACACCCATCCCACACCCATACCAACACCCACAACCACACCCACACCCACACCCACCCCACACCCACACCCACCCCACACCCATACCCACACCCTTGGGTAACCGATGTAATGGTTCGGTATATCTTTTACAAAATCATGGCAAGTTTCGTACAACGTGTCCAGAACTATAACAGTAGCTACTGGACTATGAATGGTTTCGTAGTAGTTCTATGACACCTTTATATACTCTACGAAACTGTCAACGTTTTTGTGCAAAAGATACCGAACCACTGAAAGTTCAGTACACAATGCACTGAACTTCTGCAGAGTTCTGTATTCAACTTCGAAACCTTCTTCGATTTACGAAACTTAAAAAGGTTCAGTGTGAGTACTATGACACTTTTTTCATTCCACGGAACTTAAAATGGTTTCGTAAGCTAGTGCGCAACCTCAAAAGTTTGGTAGAAAACCTATTTTTTTTAGAGTGCACATGAGAGTTTTTGCCAGTATAGCTTTTGCAGGACCACCCATGTTCACCAAAAAAAATATTTAAAAATGAATGATATCATGTATATGATGTGCTGCCATTTGCACGCATGAAATACTTATTCTACAGGCATGCACACGCATGTAATATATGAAGATAATACTTATATACGCATTCGAACATGACATATTATCTTGGCAAGTGAACATTCTTACCATTCGACCACTGATCGATATTCATTAGTATTAAGAAAATAACGTCACTTATTCGTGATAGGACACGCAAACTCATGCGAGTAAAAGATTCTTGCACATGTGAAGACTTAAGTGGTGCTTGCCGCAAACATATAAAGAAAAAGGTCCGTTTTTTCTGTCAGGTATGCTTTGTCATAACAGTATTTTGTCATATTTTGACCGATCTACAAGCAAAACTATGCTTGTCATTATTTTTAACCCGAAACTTAACGTTAATGTATTCATATCCTAGTGTTCTTTTTTATAATTTCGAATCAAACAGATTTTTATTGCTTAGTTGGCATGTGATTTGAATTGCAAACCAGCTTATGCGAATAACTGTAACAACTCTCGTAGATTTTCTAGTTTTCTTATCTTTTCGAATCGTTGTAGTATAACGTTACAATTTATTTTCAATTCACTAGTGCAATTAAAATATAGAATATTGTGCTTACATGAGCTGCATTTAAAACTAAGTACATGTTATTCAGAAAATAAAATATATACCTTCATGCATGTATAATAGGAAAAGGATAAAAGCGCATGGTTCATAAACTTTTCAAATTACACATTTTCCCTAAGTTCTCGAGCATAAAAACTGTAGAACCATTTTTGCCACGTATGCCATGCGCTCATATGTGTCTCAAGTTACATTTTTTCGTGCACCTACATACAAAAGTTGGAAAGACTACACATACGACTACACCTACTATGCATGTACATGCAAGTCAAACTACTGTGTTTACATGGAAATCATATTTCTTGCATAAATTGATAAGAATACAGCTGGCGAGCAAACGCAAGCATGCAATTCTGCATGTTCGTACGTGTTTTCTTAAAAAGCCTGAAAACTTGTGTTCGCATGCATGTAATTCTACTACGCGTGTGTGTGAAAGTACCATTGACTTGCGTTTACACATAAAATTTAAATATTTTAAAAGAAATATGCGTGCTTCAGAGCAAAACTCGAGTGAATCAAAATATCCTGCATGCACACGCAAGATTCTTGAAATTCCTCACGTAGCAACGCGTGTTTTCGAAATTGACGTGTGACTGGGCTGACATTAGATATATATAGTGAGGCAATCGGTCGAATCGTACACAGAATAATTGCATCTGAAGTCAGCAATGATATCCATTACATATATTATGGTAAGTAACTCTTATAGATGAAATATGAACTCTGAATAAAGGCTTTTCAAACATTACCACTGCTTTTTTAACGGCTACCAGACGGCAATACATATTAAATCTGAATTAGCATAATTTTGTAGAGAAGTCTAAAGGATGTTTGAGTTTTGAATTATATCAAGACAGAATAAGTCTAGCGATACATTATCATGCAATGCAATGTTGTCGATAAGAATACATATGTTTTATGTATTAATACTCATTGGTACTTCTGAGGAAAATATTTGACTATTTCACTATATAATTTTCACTTTTGACAAAATAAGATTCAGAAAAAATTCCTGAAAGCACCCTAAGTTTTCTTTGGACTACATGTTGACCAAAATCATATTGAAAATATGAGATTTTTAGAAAACTATATAAGAAAATGTTAAATATTGATCAAAACTAAATCTTACGAGTAATTTCCATTAAAAGGTGGCTACTACTTGTGTTTTTAAAAACTCATTATTAACTTTTCATTAAAAGGACGATTTATTTTTGTTCATACTGTCTGACAGTAATATATCGATTTATTCAATTTTTGTACATGGTCATATTCGTTCAGAAAAATTTCCTCATTTTATACATAGATTGATTATGATATTCTTTCATGATACTTGATCAATTTATATAATGCACCGTTACTGGAATCGTATGAATACGACCTATGTATGTATTTAAAGATAGTTGTTAATTTCACTTGAACATGAACTGTTCAAAATCGACCAGTTTTATTTCATAGTTGAGACAGTTGCTTCCACTAATAAATTGCATCGAGAAGAATAGATTTTATGAGAAATTATATTCGTAGGTTTTTCTTTCGATATTTGATTGACTTATAGCTACTTTACAGATTGGACAACTGAAAGAAATTTTATTATGATATTTCATGAGAAGACTTCTCTTTTAAAATGCTATGATAAATGAAAAATGATCAAATGTAGTATGGAAATTTTTGAAGTTAGTATTTACGACAAACTCACCGAGCAGACATGCAGTGATAGGAGTATAATTTGAAACGATCTGTATGTATTTGAAAAAATATCCTCGACTTTCTTAACATAAAACGGCTTGTAATAACTCCTAATGAAGTGTTATTAGAAGCCGTTTCATTAATTCTAGAATTTTTGCTTTCTCAATGCTATATATTTTGTTAAGGCAATATATGCAGAAACACATTATTGCATGGCACTACAAACAAATCAAATGCAAAAGTTTAAGAAAACGCATGTATTTGCGAGACATTTTCAGAAAGTTTCGACCATTTGCGAGATGACTTATAGTCTGTAAATCTTATGTACATGCAAACTATCTCAAATATCAAAGACTTTTGCGTATAAATGCTAAATAAGAGCACTCACAAAGATATACATTCCATTAGAGCATGGAAACAATCAGAACTTTTAAAAATTTTGGGCTAAGCATGGCAGATTATGCATTCCTATTGTTCTCGCAAACACCCGCATGTAAATGGAGAGAGAGGGTGAGTGAAGCAAAGATTCGCACTCACTTTGTATATCTACACCCGACTTCGCTAATGCATAGCTCTGGCGATCATTAGTTTAGTGGAATGGTTGCCTTACTGAAAAAAATTCTCTACCAACTCAAATTTTTCTCAGATTTTTCTCCGACTAAAATCTGCATCAAAGGAGAAATATTATTGAAAATGACGTGAATTCCTTGAGGACTTCCCCTCTTTAGTAGCTTACTTGTTAACGACGCTAATATAAGGCTGTATCTTCTAGTAGCTAGAATGAAGTCTGAATTTCTGACGTGAGATAACTCTTGTACCTCACCTTACGAGATGTCAACAGAAATTGAAATGACCAATCTTTTTATGAAATAGTCATCAATCGTAATACTATTGAGTATTTAGAATACGTATATCATTGGAAGCAATAGGTTACTAATAGACTAAATTCACTGGAAAATGAAGCAACTCATAGAGATGAGTGCTACTTGCGTACGGAGAGAAAATAGAAACGTCTTTTTAGAAAGATGTTTGAAGAATGTAGAATGTTTCTTTCTTTAAATTCTTTGATACAAAGAAAAGCGCTTTCATTTTCTAGTGAACAGTAGGTTGATTTTTTTGTATGATTTTCCTTAAAACAAATCGTTGATAGTTATTATCTTTCTTTTTTTAAAATTCATTCAACGTTGTTTTTTTTAGACTGTCTACTATTTTTGAAAAATGAACGTTCATACTTGAAATAATTTGCAGGGCAAGCTAAGATTTCAACAGTTAGCCTGTTCTCACAGGTGCCTATCAGGCAAAAGGCATTAGCTTATTATAATTGAAATTCTATATACTGGTAGCAAAACAGAGCTTTCTTATAGGAAAAGTTCTGTGAGCTCATGCAATGAGCGGTATCATGTATTATTTAAACAGACAATAAAATAGTTTAGACGGTAGTGGAACCTTTTAGTTATTACCTTTTACAGAAAAGTTGTTCTTTCAATCTTGTGTCACCCTTGATACCAAAACCTCTTCTGTAATTAGATTTATCTTATGTTCCAAAATTGTTTTAGACAAAATTTGTATTGCTTTTAAAAACTAGCCCAGGCAAGTGCGGAAGGAATTTTTATCCAAAAGTGCGTAATTTTGTCTTTTGTTTATATTATTAGAAGACAAGATAATATGAAAGTCTTAACTCAAACAACTTTGTGAAGGTTGATTTATCAGTTTCACAAAATACTGCAGTCATTCTATATGTCAATAATAATGCTATTTTGCAGGTTTGCAGAATAGTTATAGTTGGCCACGATTATATATTTTCCCTCGACTACAAGGAGGGTCATATGAAAAAAAAATAAATTGTGTGTGTGTGCATGTCTGTGTGTCTGCATCGGGTCACAATAGCATCAGGGTCAAAAAACATCCATTTAAAGTTCTTTCCTCTAAACGTTGACGAAAGTAAATCAGGGGCGGGGAATCCGAATTTGAAGTCAGTTTCTCAAAATTTTGAATTGGGTTTTTAGGATCAAGATAAGAGTTTTTGAGGAAATAATGATATTTCCTCGAGTCTTGGAAAGGTTATATGAAATACAATAAACTTTTCCCTGTTTGAGTGTGAGGGAGATATGAGATGTCATTGAAGAAACCTTGGCTAAGTGTTGGATGCTCGTGCTTTTAATATTGGGCTTTGCACCAATTCGAGTTTTCAGAATAGAAATTGGGTGAACCTAACGTATGTGATATGTTCTCCCTTGATCAACTGTTTCATAACTGGGTTTTCATGGGTAAGACTTGCTATTAATGATGGCTTGAGGTCTACTGATAAAGAATATTGCAATATATTGATTATTAGATCGATCTTTACAAAATGTTGTGAAAACAAAAACTGAATTTTTAAAATTACTGCTATCTACGTAGAAGATTTCTACTTCATATTGGAAAGAATCTAAAAGAAACCTGAAGTATGGAGAGAATATTACAATTTTACTTGAAATCGTTAATATATTCGTCGTCATAATTATGTTTAGTGATCGATAAAAAGACAACTATCTGTGTTGATTAAGTCCATCTAAATATGATCATTATTTCATCGTGTCACTAGCGTGCTGGTATAAAATCTATTTTGCTTTCAATATTTATTTGCCACAGTGTAATTGGACAAAGAATTGCTGTTTTACAATCTCTTATTGAAAAGGAAAGCTTATCCTGAAGTATTTTACAAATAGGTCGATCAATTTCTTCGGCTTTATAATTCAACAAATAGAAGTTTGAGTCAGTTATTGTGATGAAGCTGGTAAACCTATTCATTCATTACAACACATGCGGAATATACTTCTATCTTATACAGTCGAGGGTCAAGTGAATCGAACCGACGAACGTTACTTGTATTTTTACTTCTATTCTAAGTTGACATATTGCTTTTCGTGATAAGATAATCCTTATAGCTGTAACAGTAAATACGCTCGATCTCCTTAGAAACGAGCCGGAAGCCAGAACTTTTTTTACTGTAAGCACAACTCACTAAGTGTAACAAATTATGAAGGGAGAGATGGAGAGAATGGTTTGTTTAGTTGTTACTGCTGCAGCTATTGTTTTATTTGTGATCACAATGAGAAACTGGAAGAATAGTGTTACTGCTATTCTTTGTGTATATGATGTTAACGTTCTACACTTTTCCAAC